TCTACAATACAATGAGCGCCAGACCAAACCAAGATCAGTAGAAAAAATACCACAGATGTAAGAAAAACACTCCCGAAAATTTGGGCTACCCCACTTGACCAATAAAATATGATAAACAAGATCAACAAGGAAAGGCGGCGTTCAATGAACGCAACCCCCACATGACCCAGCAACAAGAACCAATGACAAGGAGCCCAGGGGGACCCCGAACAAAAACAGGACAGGGCAAAGACAGAGCACGGACAGGTTAATCATTAAATGATAATTAATTTGTAACTGATTAGGAATTTAAAGAAAATAAAAATAGGCCCACAAAGGGGAGGGGACAGGAGACCGGGGGGAGAGGTGGGGAGTAATCAAAGAAATAAAAACTAGAGGCAATGGGGAAGATACTTACCGTAGACGAGAAAACAACAAGGGACACAAGCAAAAGTGTCACCAAAACAGTATGAAACAACATAAGACATACATCTGAGGAACACAGTGGGGCGCCGCCTTGGAACGGTCAGCAGCATAATAATGACTGCTGGGGAGTTTAAACCGGTTAATGGTGCACCAAACCTCGCTCTTAGCCCCACCATGTTCCTATAAACAAGACAGTGTAAATAAAATGAATCCCCGCCAAGTGAAATTCTAACAGTTGTCATGGTTACAAAAGGTTAAAATAAGTAAAACACTAAAATGATCATGTAGAAACATATAAAAGTAAACCCAATGACCATAACAAAAGTACTCAATGTCCTAAAGGAAGACAGAGCAACAAGAAAATCACCTACAAGGGCCCGACGAAGCAAGGCAGAAGACGAACATTAAGACAATTCAGTCCAAAGGGCTTTACGAACTATCCATCATAGAGTCTCCCACTTGGTCCGTCAGATGCAATCAAAAGAGGAAAGCGTAGTGTCCAACTGTAAAAGGGTTGAACACTAAACATGCAGTATGTCTTAAAATAGTAGGGTCATAACCTCTTTTAATAAAACGTTTAATAACTTTAGTAAAAACAGCAGAAAAATTACCATGACCCAAAATCTTACGAAGTTTGTAAACCACATCGCCATAAAAATCCAGGCTGGCTAATCCCTTGTCGCAGAAGAGTTTTTAAATCACTATTGAATTTAGAAATTAAATCAAAGTTACGATTGTAAAATTTAGTAAAATATTTCCGTAATTTATGATAACGGGTAGCCCTTTTTAGAAGCTTGCTGGTAATAAAAATATTCCGCTCGTTGAAATCCTTTACGTTGTTACAAGCTCTAGCGAATCTAATTAACTGAGAAACATAAACCCCGTAGGATGTTGCATGGGTACGTCTCCATCCAAATGTGGATAATTAACTATACAAAAGTCAAAGTCATCTCTTTTATCATAAATTTTCGTGTGAATAGAATTATTGTTGATAGTAATATGAAGATCCAAAAATGATGTACTAAAATTTCAAGAGTTCGTTTTATTAAGTTGTAGTTCATGCGGATAAATGTCAGACACCATTTGATCAAAATAAGGATTATCTAAATTAAAAATATCATCAAGGTATCTGGAAGTATTATTAAATGCGACTATAACATCTTGTTGTTTCTCTTCCGAGAGACTCAACATAAAGTCTCTTTCATAGCAGTACAAAAACAAATCGGCGACCAGGGGTGCACAATTAGTACCCATAGGAATTCCTATGATCTGTTTAAATAGGGTATTACCAAACCTGACATAAATGTTGTCTAAAAGAAAAGAGAGTGCTCTACAAAACTTCGTCACAGGTCCACATGGTATAATGTTTAACAATTCCGTTAGTAAAAAAAGCTATGTTCGAATTACATGCTAGAAAGGTAACTTTTTCCCGTGCAAAAGTTTTTCTGAATTAGGGAAATGAGTTTATCATTGATTAATTTATGTGGCAAAGTTGTATAAAGTGTAGAAAAGTCGTATGTACTGACAGTTGAAGCTTGAAAGTTTATTAACTTTTTGAATTTATCCAAGATTTCACCAGAATTTTTAATTGACCAAAAGAGATGTTTGCCTGTGTTTTCATAAACTTTATCACAATATCTAATTACATGTGTTTTAATGGCAGTCAAACAAGACGTCAATAAAATAGAAAGTTTTACTTGTTAGTGCAAGATGTAGAATTAGCAATAAATCTGGCTTTGTAAGGTTTTTTATGTAATTTAGGAATCCAATACATAATAGGAAGTTTGAGTTCTTTTCATTAATTTGGACTTTAAGATTAGAAATATTAGTAATATGATTGTTTACAATGTCTTTTTCGGAGGCAGAGGTTTTAGAATACGCATTAGTGCTATTTAGTTCCTTATGCAAAACGTTAATGTAATGGATTCGTCAAACAATTATAATATTATTAGCCGCCTTGTCCGCTGGCACCAAAACAAATTTTGAATGAAAAGCTAGAATATCTTTTTTCAGATGTCTTAAAGTAAGTCTTGGTTTAGGTGGCAAAAGATGTTCATTTCCACGATAAAAATTAATACGTGAATCAATAATTTTAAAGATGTTACGTTTCCATGTAACTAGAGCATTACTATCCGCATTTTCACGGCGACACCATTTGACCGAAAAATCCTCTATAGATTCAGCAATCTGACCACGACAAGCATTAAAATCAATCTCAGAAGGAATTCTGTATTTAGGTCCTTTCAAGAATAAGTTACGAATTCTTTTGTCTGCAATTATATCAAAATTACCAGTGATTATATGGCCAGAACGTGACCCAGTTGAAATTTACAAAATTTATTCGCAAAAGAGACCAGCTGATTACTGCAGCCCTGATCACCCAATGTATCTTGCTCCAAGGACATCTACAGTGAAAAATGACTTGGACAAATTGCTATTCAAGAAATCAACAGGGGGAGATAACTTGGTACCATGTTAAAAACCATGTGTGACAATTAAAGACTTACAAATCACGAGGAAACGTACTGTCGAACAATTAAGAGATGAAGGCATTGCTCCAATTGACATTTTACAAATAACTTGACACAAAAATGTACAATCTATTCTAAACTACAGTACACTGTCTGAGAAAAAAACATTAAGAAATGTCCAATATTTTGGCAAACACTGGTAACAAAAAACAAGACTTGTAAGTAATACCTGTGTATCTGTCTCTTCAACCACACACCACGAAGTAAACAGCCTGCAAGCCATTCTTCCCGTTTCTGTGCAAAGCGTTTCTAATTACTCCACCCACCAAAGTGAGCAAATCCAAACACAGAATAATCAACAAAATTTGTCTGTTGAAGCAGATTCCGTCATGAAAACAATAACGCAACAGTAAATATCCAAAACTTCAACTTATACATGCACTGAACAACTGTAATTGTTGTTAAAAATATCTCCGTGACCTACATAACCTGATAAATTGTGTATTGAATTTGGATGACAGATTGAATGACACACTATTTCACTAGTCTAGATATGTACACGAACACATTGAATGTTACTGTTTGTTGTTAATTGTTATTTAATTGCTATCTACAATTTGTTATATTCAAACAAATCAAAATTATTTGATTGAAATAAATTTGAGCATTTGTGGAAAAAAATCTTTGTTTTTAGCGAATTATACTGGAACTATTTTCTATGGCGGATCATGATTTACATAAAATGTAGCGGAAATTTGACCAACCTGTCGCGATTAAAAAGTATGAAATTTCAATAAAAAACATGCACATTTGAGCTAAAAGCACGATAATACGAAAATTTAGCAGAATAAATCGAATATATGGTTGATGTCGGGATGGAGAAGGTTTATCCTGTTCGCTGCTTGCGAAAGTAAATCTTGGCTCACTCAAGCTCGCCAAGATACACTTTCTCGCCCACCGTAATAAACCTTCTCCATCACGACATCAACCATGTATTCTCTATAACATCTATGCAAAAAACCGTTATAATTATCAGAGATAAAGCTGATATGTTACCATAACTCTGTCATTGTTTGATAAACAAATATTCGCACTTTACATATGTGATTTGAAATTAAATCGACAAAAATCTTCATAAGTACCGTGCTTAGATATTTGTAAACCTATAATTAAATAAGATAGGCTAGAACAAATACTACTACAATCTTGAAAAGAAAGTTTATTCACCTGTTAAAAGGCTACGTTTCTATCTTTACTTTACCATTTTTTTCATTTGCCTTTGGCAGACGGTTGAATAAGAATTATGAAACAAATAATTATGTTCGTGTAACTTTATTTTACCGTTCTAGTGGTAACGACTCCATGTAACTAAACATTATAAAATCATTGAAATATGATTAACTATCTAGAAATGTTAAAACAAATACAAAACATATCCTATTTTTTAATCGGCTGCAAACAGCAATTCTATTTTGAACATGATTTGCGAGTTTGCAACAATAATATAGGATATTTGGATACAAGTGAGCTCTTATCTCTGTCTGACGTTTTGTTAAAAGTTGTAGAAATGAAATATCTATGAACAGAAGTGTAACAGTAAATAATTCAAATCGGGCGACTCGGTTTATTTATCACTTTTATGAGTGAAAACGTATAATGCAACATTGTTTGAGCCCACTAGCACGACTGTAGTTACAATCAATCCTCGACGCGAAATAACTTTTTAGCCACTGATCCCAAAAGACCAGAAAACATAACAACACACTATTCAATTTGAGGATTTAAAGCTTTAATTATCAGAAACAAAAGTAGAATTGAAATGCAATAAAATGGCTTATGAAATTTGTTTGGTGTATGTTTATTCTTATTAACAATTTTAACAATAACGATAAATATATGGATTAAGTACGCGCCATCAGAAATGTTTGATGAAAGAAATTTCTCAATGTTTGGAAGAGCAACTGCGACAGTTATCGGCACGTTAACGGTGAATTATATGCTGACTTAAAATTACGCATATTTAACATCTATTAATAGTTGTATTGAATAAACGGAGCCCCGTATTGTTTGTTCTTGATGACGTAACCGGTGCTTCGTAATAATTTGATAATGTGAAATCGACTTGTAACTTTACACAACGTGGCACCAATTATCGGCAGTGTGTGACAGTTATCGGCACTTTTAATTGATTTTTAATTAATGACAGTAATTTTTTTGCAAGGTAAGTTTGTGATTTTAATTAGCGGTATACAACACATGCACTTACAGTAGAATTTCAGTTGCATAAATAAATGCCTGACATGCTTCTTTTTCTTGTAGTCATGTCAATTCGTACCGGTATCATTTCGTACCCATTTTGACCGGTTCGGACCACCTGTTGAACGACCATTTTCATTTTATGAGATAGTTGTGTTAGTTAAAATAAATGTGTTTCTGTTCCATGATTTATGACATGTGTATTCATAAATAAAATATGAAAAACAAGATCAACAAGGAAAGGCGGCGTTCAATGAACGCAACCCCCATATGACCCAGCAACAAGAACTAATGGCAAGGAGCCCAGGCGGACCCCAAACATAAAGACTTAGAAAACATGTTTATTCAATGACTGCCACAGGCTACAATAATCCCTTATTGAAGTTTGAAACTTACGTGTTCAACAAAAAATAGTTACATGTTCTCTCAGTCATGTTGATTAATTACTTCTAAAATAATGTAAGAACCATTAAGTAAATTATGTCAGTACTGATATTTTAAAGTTTAAAAATAAATCACTTAACAGGCTTTTTGATTTTTAGGTGAGGGGCAATGTGTTATTAGTGAGCTCTATCCATGGATCACAAGTTCAGTACAAATTTCTGGAAAAGGTATGTTCATGATGAAGGATAATTAAAATGCTAAACAATACAATGATAAATTCTGAATTTATTTATTACTTGTATTTCTCAGGCAATACTTTTACTTCTCAGGCACACATTTCACACTGAAATGCGACCCCTTTTAATTCATTAGCATCTTTGCCATAAAATTCATCATCATCTACACACTCAATGTGCCACCAACGTGGACATGAGTCGCACCCAAGCCACTCATTTTCTTTGCCCTCACTGGACTTACACCCAGGACAGACCTCCCTTTCATCATAATCGCTTTCATCCATATAGGGCACATCACTATCACTTTTGTCATTTTTTTTGTTCTTTTGTTGGGCAAGTTTTATTTTCTGTTTTAGTTCTTGTTCTTTCTTCTTCCGGTCTTTATCTTCTTCTCTCTGTCTCTTCTGTTCTCTGTCTTCTCTCCCTTGAATCTTTGCTTTCTCTTCAAGTATTTTTTTTTCTTCCCTTTCTTTTAACATTTTTAATGTCTCTGACCCTGACAGTGCTTTAGGGTATTTCTTTTTTTCTTTATTTTAGGTTCAGGCACATGTAAAGTTTCAAAGGAAGGAGAAACATAGTTTTGATCACGTCTGGATACAGGCAAAACAACAGGGTTTGACACATCAAGGACAGTTTCTTGGCTAGGGGCTTCTACAACATCAGATGAATCACTACTTTGAGGGACAGCTGGGATGGAAGGCAGATTGGCAGAGGTCGGATTGGCAAGATTAGCAGAGGGCAGATTGACAGAGGGCAGATTAGCAATACTGGTAGAGGGAAGATTGGCAATATCGGCAGAGGGCAGGGTGGCAATGGCAGAGGGCAGATAGGCAATATCGGCAGAGGGCAAATTTGCTAACACAGTTTCTTTACATTTAGGACTTTGTGTCTCATTTTTCTTAAGGAATGGGTACTTAAACACTCCAGATATCTCTCTGGCACTCAAACTGCCCGGTAAACTCATTTTCCTAAAACGTATAAAAAAATTAATTAGACTGTTATTTGCTATTCAATGTGCCGATAACTGTCTCCCCGTCATTTTTTTACTGTTACAGTTATCGGCACCCATTTAAACCGGGAAGGGAATAAAAAATGCAATATTTAGTGGTCTTATACCTAGAACATATTCTTACAGGCGCCCAAAAGTTCAATAATTAAAAAAGACACTTTCTCATGTTTGATTTTTTATTCGAATATAAATAACATCAAAATGTGTAAGGATTGATTCTGCACAACTCTATCTTTTGTTTAATATCTTATTTTATTCTTTACTTTTCGATACGTACTAATTAATTACATCTTACATGAATGGCTATTGTCAATGTGAGAAACAAATCTTATAAATAAGTAACTATTGGACCAATGATTGCTACAAATAATATTCACAATTATTCTCCCTATAGTGATTGTTTGACAGGTAATGATGACAAATCTTTTATCAGAAGCATTCTGTCTATATAAATACAGCAGGATAATACGCCTTAAGCGGCTAGAAGCGTTAAAGCAGACTGAAGTGATCAGACCATATTAAGATCATTCCATTGGACAATAAAATAAGTGATAAAAATAGCATAAAATTTAATGTTATTAGAAGCGAAAATAAGTCATTTTATAAGATTAAGAATATTCGAAAACCATAAGCACGAATGTATATCCATGAAAAGATAATGAATAGTACATTTCTTTGTTTTATAGATTTTATCGACATTTTGTAATGAACAGTACCATTTTCTCATGTGACTAAACAGTATGTTTGCACATATGTATTTTGTATGTTTTTTATGATCATTGTAATATACATTATACCTTTTTCGACTTTAAGGAACAGATGTCTTAGATCAAAAAGTTGAATTGCAATTTTCTATACTTTCTGAAATGAACTATGGCTAGATTTGTAACGATGTTTCAATTTAAAGTATCAGATATAATACACGACTTGACCCTGTCCGATGGTCATAACTGAGTTGTACATAAAAGCAATAATTATTATTAATGATATCCAATACAAAGTGTTCTGATCTCTACCACCACCTGACCTATTTTAATGTCCTAGTAATTTTTTAGGCTTTTGTAAGTATGAAATACGATGTTACTGTCAAATATATTGGCCGAAATATGCAGTGGTTTATGAGATATTTGGAACAAACGAGGTAATCTATTTTAGCCTATCGCTAAAACTTATTTAATTGGCAAACTACGTGCCTTTGACAATTCTAAGTTCCTGTCATTGATTTAAATTTGTATGACTAAAGTTAAGAGTTTAAATGGGATTCTGAGATATGTCTTAAGGAATTCTAGGAGAGAAATCACAAAGAAATGTCTATGATCGGCCTAAAATATTTAATTTTAACTCCTAGTGATTGGTTATTGGAAACGAATATATTTCACTACTGAGTACATATTTCGCAAAAAAGAAAACAAAAAGGTTCATCACAGCTTGGAATAATTCATACATCAGAATATAAAATCAGTTTATCATTCTTCGCGGCGATATTTTATCTAACCTCATCTTTTTAGCTCACCTGTCACAAAGTGACAGGGTGAGCTTTTGTGATCGCTTTTCGTCCGGCGTCCGTCCGTCCGTCGTCCGTCCGTCGTCCGTAAACTTTTACTTTAAATGACATCTCCTCATAAACCACTAAGCCAATTCCATCCAAACTTCACAGGAATGTTCCTTTGGTGGTCACCTTTGAAATTGTTCAAAGAATTTAATTCCATGCAGAACTCTGGTTGCCATGGCAACCGAAAGAAAAAACTTTAAATACCTTCTTTTAAAAAACCATAAGAGCTAGAGCTTAGATATTTGGCATGAAACATCTTCTAGTGAGTGTCTACCAAGTTTGTTCAAATAAAAGCCCTGGGGTCAAAATTGGCCCCGCCCCGGGGGGTCATTGATTTTCCCTATATGCATATAGTAAAAACTTAAAAAATCTTCTTTTAAAGAACTCAAAGAGCTATGGCTAAGATATTTAGCATCAAACATGTTCTAATAAGTGTCTACCAAGTTTGTTCAAATAAAAGCCCTGGGGTCAAAATTGGCCCCGCCCCGGGGGGGTCATTGATTTTCCCTATATGCATATAGTAAAAACTTAAAAATCTTCTTTTAAAGAACTCAAAGAGCTATGGCTAAGATATTTAGCATCAAACATGTTCTAATAGGTGTCTACCAAGTTTGTTCAAATAAAAGCCCTGGGGTCAAAATTGGCCCCGCCCCGGGGGTCATTGATTTTCCCTATATGCATATAGTAAAAACTTAAAAAATCTTCTTTTAAAGAACTCAAAGAGCTATGTCTAAGATATTGAGCATCAAACATGTTCTAATAAGTGTCTACCAAGTTTGTTCAAATAAAAGCCCTGGGGTTAAAATTGGCCCCGCCCCAGGGGGTCATTGATTTTCCCTTTATGCATATAGTAAAAATTAAAAAATCTTCTTTTAAAGAACCAAAAGAGTTAGAGCTAAGATATTTAGCATGAAACATGTTCTAATAAGTGTCTACCAAGTTTGTTCAAATAAAAGCCCTGGGGTCAAAATTGGCCCCGCCCCGGGGGGTCATTGATTTTCCCTATATGCATATAGTAAGAACTTAAAAAATCTTCTTTTAAAGAACTCAAAGAGCTATGGCTAAGATATTTAGCATCAAACATGTTCTAATAGGTGTCTACCAAGTTTGTTCAAATAAAAGCCCTGGGATCAAAATTGGCACCGCCCCGGGGGTCATTGATTTTCCTTATATGTGTATAGCAAAAACTTAAAAAATCTTCTTTGAAAAACCCAAATAGCTAGAGTTAAGATATTAAGCATGAAACATCTTTTAGTGAGTTTCTACAAAGTTTGTTCAAATAAAAGACCTGGGGTCAAAATTGGCCCCGCCCCGTGGGTCATTGATTTTCTTTATATGTGTATAGCAAAAACTTAAAATCTTTGAAAAAACCCAAATAGCTAGAGTTTTGATATTAAGCATGAAACATCTTCTAGTAAGTGTCTACCAAGTGTGTTCAAATAAAAGCCCTGGGGTCAAAACTGGCCCGGCCCCAGGGGTGTCATTGTTTTTAACTATATGTGTATAGTAAAAACTTTAAAAAAAATCTTCTTTTAAAAAGCCCAATGTGCTAGAGCTTAGATGTTTAGCATGAAACATCTTCTTATGGGTGTCTACCAAGTTTGTGCAAATAAAAGCTCTTCGGTGAAATTGGCCCTGCAACGTTGGCGGGGGGGGGGTTGGGGGGCCTATATACAGGTGAGCGACCTCAGGGCCATCATGGCCCTCTTGTTTTGCTTGACCTATTTTGTTTCCACTCCTTTCTTTATGACAAGAATACTCTGACTCATGTCAATATATATTTTCATACGACGTCTTGTAACATACAGAAAGAACATTCATAAGATTTGTGTTATGCAAGAAGTGTACCATAATTCGTTTTTCATAGTCCATACAATGATATTTCAACAACTTCTGTTACAGCATATTGCATTTTAAAGCCATATAATTTACATTTACATTATAAACACTCACTAATTATAAATTTGTGCAGTGTACAACAACAGGTAGACAACTGATTGGCCTTTCCGACAACTTAATGGATAATTTGTATTATGTGTTATTGTTCATTTAAAAAAATTCATTGTTTGTCGTGAAATATGATACTCAAATACTATAATTATCCTCCTTATTCATAATCTTTAAGTTAATGAAAATGATCATTTTATATAACGATGCATATACAACACAATTTATAGACAATTTTCATCAGTAAATAAGCTGTATAAACTGTCTAAAATGCCAAGAAATATCTTATGACAAATGTCAATAAGCACACGCCTATCCAGCATCACATCAGAAAATTGGTAAATATATCATTCCAAAACTTCAATTACAAGTTCTTATCTTTTTCACAATGTCTGTCAGACATGGAAATAAGCCATTTTCTTTATTTAAGGAAGAAAAGTGTTTTGGCATGTTTCGAAATCAATTAGATGTTTTGAATAATAAGATCATAAATTGCAGATTATTTCAAAGGCAGTGAGTCACCATGTGCTATTTATCATAATATTATTTAATTGTGACATTATTTGGTCAGTTAGTCAATTTATGTGTAAAGTAAGCCCAATTTATTTGATTAACCCCATACTATGACAGTTCACTTAACTGATTTGATTTTATTTAATTTCAGAAAGAATGTTACTAGTAATAGAAAGAGCATCAAAACAGAAGGCTATCTGATTTGTAAGAGGGGTCATAGCCCCCGGGTATTTATCAGATTGCCGAGTGTTTTGATGTTCTTTCTCTTTTGTATCATAGTCAAACATAAAAACACGTTCCCTGTTGTCACAATATGAAATCCCAGGAAAAAGTAACCAATGAACGAGCATCTGAATATGATATTTCTGTCGCTTTCCCTTTCTCTTCCGTCACAATAAGTAAACCCCAGTAAAATTGAGCCAATCAATGGACATGCTCTGGAGTGCGGGTAACTAATACCTGCACTCCAGTTAACGCACAGTGCATGTATATGTATACGATTTAATTCTAACACATTTTCAACAGAAAGGTCCCAAAACTATGATAGAGTAGAGTATAAATGGAAGAAGAGAATAAAATTTCATAATAGATTTACTTGTTTCAATTGAAGAAAATTGTTTGATAGGTGTCAATAAATGTGAAATGAAAGAATGAAATATTAAATTATTTAAAGAGAGTATCGCTATTAAAATGTGTTGTACTAGGGGAGTATACATGTATGGACATAAGAATATAGAGTATATTTGTACAAATGAGTAATATTTTGAGATATATGCTTCAATCTCCAAAACATACTTTAATATTGTCGTGTTCCATAACTGGCATAAAGTAGTATTGACATTTTATTTGCAAGAAACTAGAATATTTTCATGAAACACAAGTTTCAGTTTTATCTTTTTTCACGGTATTCATGACAGGCTTTGTAATAAAATGTCTTAAAAATAATCTTGTAACAAGGTATTATTTGTTTGCGCTTGTGAATGTATATTTTGGTGTGTAAATGAAAGCACATGTCTTTATTGTTTAATCTGGTCATAAACTTTAAGCTCATTTGTCAATAACAAATGTGTAAATAGTCATTTTGTTCTGCTGTTCTTCAGAGGTTTCG